TATATATTACATAGTATTGTATTGCTGGTTACACAAGTAAAAAACAGAATAATAACTAGAAAATAATAAAAACTTCAACTATTTAAACAAAACATCAAGTAACGGATGGGACAAGAAAGAATCCTTCATGGAAATTTAGACTAAAAAGTAGTGAAAATGCAACATATTGGAATCGTAGGGGCTGGAGGTATAGCTCAGGGGTATATCAGGGGTAGAGCACTTGCTTAGTGTGTGCCAGGCCCCAGCTTTTATTCCTAGCACTACACACACACACACACACACACACACACACACACACCCTCATGAAATATAGCTCAAGCCATTCTTTTTTTTTTCATTTTTGGAACCGGGGATTGAACACAGGCCCTTGCACTTGCCAGGGAAGCGTTTATTCCACTGAGCCATCTCCCGGCCCCTCAAACCATTCTTAAAGAGAAGTTCATAGCCTAAATGGAAGCCACTAATGGTGGACACTTACGCTACTGGCATTTAGGAGGCTGAGGCAGGAGGATCAAAAGCTTGAAGCCAGCCTGGGCTGCATTTCAAGACCCTGTCTCAAAAACAACAGGCCGGGGGGCACGGTGACGCATGTGTGCGGTGCTAGCACTGTGGAAGGCTGAGGCAAGAGGGTCGCAATTCAAGCTGAGCTGAGGCCACTCAGGAAGACCCTGCCTCAAAATGAAAAAGGGCTGGAAATGGAGCTCAGTGGGAAAGCCCTGGGTTTGATATCCAGTACAGGAACAAAAACATTTAAAAAAAATATAAAACTATATAAATATCTGTAAAACAAGGCTGGTGTGGTGGCCTACACCTGTAATCCCAGCACTCGGGAGGCTGAGGCAGGAGGCCAGCCTGGGCTACAAAGTGGACTCAAGGCCAGCCTGAAATGCATAGCAAGAGCCTGTCTCAAAAAGACAAAAAAGGGCCGGCCAAATAGCTCAGCGGATTAAAACACCTGCAAACGGGCGCAGGGGCCAGGGGTTTGATGCCTGGCCTGCCATGCCAGCCCAGCCCCTGGGGTGTGCTGAGACTGGACGTGGTGGCGCACACCTGTAATCCCAGCTCTTGGGAGGCTTTAAACAGGCAGATTACTATGAGTAGTGAGACCTTGAACACCCTGTAGACCCTTCTGTAAAATAAAAAATTAAAAAAAAAAAAAAAGGAAGCAAGAAAGTGGAAGGAAACACATACACACGCATGCACATGCACACACCCCTTCCCCAAGGTTTCTTTTCATTTTCCTTTTTTTTTTTTAAAGTTGAGATGGATTTATTTGGGGGGGGGAGTGCTGCCTCAGGCTGCCTTAAGGGCTGGTCTGGTAAGGCATGAGGATCTGGGGATTGAACCACAGTATCCTGAGCCCGAATGCCTTTGCTTAAGCGGGAGCTTAAACGACTGAGCTCATGGGCAGGCCCCCCTTCCCCAAGGTTTCTAAACAGCCCAAGGACGCCCCCATTGCGGTGCCTCCAAGTCCTGTTCATTCACACTAGAGCTTAGACAGTGTGATGGACCAGAAAAAAGGAAGGGACAGAGAGCGGAAAAAAAAAAACGCAAAAAGATAAGAGGACCACAGAAAGGAAAAAGCAAAACTTCCATCGTTCATAGATGACCCGGCGAGGCTCACCGAAAACCCAAAGTTATTTACAGAGAAACTCTTGGAATGAAGGAGTGGATTCGGCGCCATCATTCCTACATAGCACCAGAACATAAAAAACAACCGTATCTCTACACACCAGCCACCAGCAAGCAGAAAACAACACAAGGGCAGGGACACACTGCACGCTGATGCCTTACCAGAGCACCAGTGAGCTAAGGGGGTGGAAGACATCCTGCCTCAGAGCCCCTACGGCGCAGGGCCCCACGCGTGGCTTCTGCCACCACCATCACTCTTGCTCAGAGCACTCGTCTCCGCCCTGAGACAGCCCCAG